CTAAATAGCTGATTTTGATAAATGTGATACATGAAGCAGGAGCAGGTAACTGTCGGGACCCTCCGTGGAGAACCGTCATCTTTGGCAGGGTCCTGAAGGAGGGATGTTTTGTGTGTCGGTCACCAGCTAGTGCTGGGAGCCAGAGATGAGCAGGACACGCTGGCCGTCAGTGCTTTGCTGAGACGGGGTGAGACTGGGGGCAGAAAATCTTGCCAGGAGGCAAGGTCCTTATCTAGGTGTGAAGAAGGGAGACCAATTTGACTGCCGTGGAGGAACAAAAAAAAAAAAAACAACTCAGCTCATTGTAGGTAAACAATAGTCATCATGTACACAATCTGTTCATTTAGAGTTGTAGGAACTGTTCACATGTAAGGACATAATCATACCCATTTTGCCACCTTTCCCTTCAACCAACAGATCTAGCAATCAGTATTCTTTAAAGTCACTTGTCCTTTAAACAAACAAACACAGAAAACCCCATTCAAACAAGTAAGTAAATAATACCTAAGCTGCTTTAGTATGATTTCTTGGTATAGAAACTCCACAGTTTAATTTTAGTCACAAGTCCAAATCTGTAGCCCTTTTTATTAGAAATGGTTGTATCCGGCACAGGTTTGTGGCGTGTGTGTGTGGAGGGGGGTGAGGGGGAATGAGACCTGTCTTGGTTCCCTTGGACTGTGGTAACAAAACACCACACAGTGGGTGGCTTTAAAGAACAGAAATGTATTCTCTCACAGGTCTGGAGGCTGGGAGTTCAAATTCAGGGTGTTGATGGGGCCACGCTTGCTGTACCCACTCTAGGGGAAAATCCTTCCTTGTCTCGTCCAGCTTCTGCTACCTGTTGCTGTTGAGTCGATTCCGACTCATAGAAACCCTATAGGACTTTGTAGAACTGCCTCATAGGATTTCCAAGGAGTAGCTGATGGATTCGAACTGCCGACCTCTTGGTTAACAGCCGAGCTCTTAACCACTGCACCACCAGGCATTTTCTTGGCATTCTTGGCTTTTGGGTGCTGTCAAATGGCTTGGGGGAGGTGTCTGACCTCCTCCAACCCCACAAAAGGGGAAGAAGAACCAAGATCAACAGCCCAAGGCTGATTCCTATGAGGTGGAGGTCAGACCCGTCTCCTCTCTCTGCCATCTTTACCAATTCTGACACCAACTGTCCCTCTCACAGCACTCTCTTACTGGGTTCAATAGTTCATTGCAGTGGCCACACAGGAGTCACAGACCATACTCACAATTACGTGGTTTATTAGGGAAGTAACAGTTACAATCCAGGTTCAGGAACACCCAAGATGCACCTTTTCCATCAGGATAGCCTCTTCCCAGCCGTGCTCGCAGGCGTGCCTCTCTCTGGCCCTCAGTCTCTGCCCAAAGGCACTCAGTTTTCTGTCTCCATGGGCC